TACGTACTACTACGTACTACTACTACTACTACTACTACTACTACTACTACTACTACTACTACTACTACTACTACTACTACTACTACTCTCTCTCTCTCTCTCTCTCTCTCTCTCTCTCTCTCTCTCTCTCTCTCTCTCTCTCTCTCTCTCTCTCTCTCTCTCAAACTTATAACAAACAAGACCCATAAGGAATTTTACAAAGACCTCTCTCACTAAAATTACAGAGAAGAGCATCCTCTCTCTCGCTAAACCCAAATACCTCTCTTAATCAGATCAGATACCTAATCAACAGAGCACGCTATGGAAAAACCATTAGAAAATGGGACAAAGAAGCCAAAAAATAAGGGGAGGAGAGAGAGAGAGAGAGCAACCCGAGGAAGAAAATTGTGAGAGTGCTTCATATGAGCTTTTCTCAGGTGCAAATAACAAAGGCAGCAGATCCGCAGATGGTGGAGTCGGTAGATCTATCATATGGCGGTTTAACAAAGGGTTTCAGATCAGATTTTAGAAGGATTTCCGTTTCTCAAAGGCAAGTTAATTTCAAAAGGGGAGGCAGTGATGTCAGATGTTGTGATTTTTAAGAGGCCATTTTCGAATGGGCGTTTTTCAGAGGACAAAACGGGAAGTATTTCAGATCAAACGGTTTTTGGGATTTTTTTTTTTTTTTTGGACGAATTTTCAGAGGGGTTTATCGCAGAGAGCCGGAACAATAATTTCAAATCTGGTTGAGACAGATTTGACCAAGCGGCTGAGGGAAATCTGGTTGACTGAGTAAGTAGCTAAATGGCTAGGTGGGTGGCAGATGGGCTCTCAAGCTCATAGATCAGGCTTTCAGCCAATGAGAGTAGGCTCAAGCAACAGACAAAATCGTCGGATCTTCACTTGAGAGAGAAAAATAGTCGAGACAGTCTAGAAAACAAAATGGCACTTGGAAGACCCCAACAAAACTCGCCGCAAATACGAGACCCATTCAGCAGCTCGTAGATAATCAGACAAGATCGAGTAGCATAAAAGACTCGATATTACATAAAGGAATCATCCTCGGAGATAGAAACGAAGTTGAGGCAACCGAGAAAACAGAATGGCACTTGAAAGAGCCAACAAAACTCAATGAAAATCTGAGACCCTGTGACTAGCCTCAGTTTGAGGGGGAGTGTAGAGATCATTGAAAGATCTTGTATCATAGAAAGTATGTTATTCCAGTTATATATAATTATTATACTCTATTTTAATGTGAAAGTTAACTCGGTTGTGTATACACATGCTGATAATAATGAATAAAGACATGTTATATGTTTTACATAGCCATCTCAACCAAAATAAACCAGCGAAATTTTTCTTAACTCCTTAATAACTGATGCAGACAAAAGAGACCAAAAGAAAGTAAAATATAATCTACTATTACTTCATATAAGAATTTGAATTCATATATTTGATCTAACTTTTTAGAACTCAAAAAATGACAAAAGTCTGAAGTGTGAACAAAGATTGAGAAGAAATCATAGGTATTCAACCAAATGATCCCTAACTCTTCTATGAGAATGAAACATTATCAAAATTAAGAGCAGAGAAGAAAGCAGACCAATGTCAACAACTCCCTTTCATGCACAATTGACCTACAACAAAGAAATCAGGAAGTGAAAAGCACAAACACCATCATCATCATCATCATCCGAGCCTTATAAGGACTATTTGAGATTGGCTAAAAAGAAAGTAAAACAAAATAAAGATTGAAGAATTAAAAGAACATACCAGGAACTCATTTGTGTGAATTAGACGGCCAGGGAAGAAGGCCACCTTTCCAAAGGGGACCTGCAAGATTCCAATTTCATCAGATACAAACTAATAAGAAGTGCAAAATGTAAAGAGAGAGAAAGAGTTAGACATTAAGATGGGAAGCACCCGCAACAGAGAGAAAATCAGCACATAGATAAAGTAATGGAACAAATAAATTGTACAAATAGTTATACGGTTCCAAATTTTCACCATGATTTCGTGAGAAATCTCGTCGGGGAGCCTCTGCACAAGGTTCATGAGAGAAGAATTCTCCGAGATGAAGAGGTTGAGCTGGTCCAGCTCCTTGGTCCTCTGCGCTATCGCTTCTTTAACTCTCAGCTCTGCCTTCATCGCTTCTTCGACAGGAAACAAGGAAGACAGAGAAGTCACAGTGCCCTTGCTTCCGCGCTCCATAGCTACTTCGTGACTGAGAATTTTCACGGCGAGGCTTTATAAACTGCAAGGTATTGCCATCCTACGGTTCCCCTTCGGACTCTTTGAATTTGCAAGGACGGAGCATTTGGGGTAGCCCGCACCTAAATAACTAGGGCACGTGTGGGCCAAAAACATGAGGCCCGAGGACCAGGCCAACGCGGCCCTAAGGTTGGGACGGGACTCGTCCTGGCGAAGCCCAAGCTTTTTTCCTTAACTTCATTTTTTATAATGTTTTTAGGCGGGCCTCATGGTCACTTGGTCTTCCCCAAGCCTGACCCGTCCCGACAAGCATTTAGATGTTCTTTTATTTTAAAAAGTTTAGCTTTAAAGCAAGAATGACATAATGTATACTATTTATTTTTATTTGGATAATGCAGGATGGATACCATATGCCGCTTTTGTTTTTTTACAGAAGACATATCAAATCTATTATTGTTTAACTAAAATGAATAATGAAGAACACCACAACATTATTTTTACAAGTAATCTTTTATTTTATTTTATTTTAAACATCAAAAGTCACAATAACCACTTCTCAAATGTATTTAATGCTTTACCCAAGTGTTTTAAAAACTAGCGATCTACCAATCTAGATTGGAAATTAGTGGTGACTGAAATGGTTACTAGTTAGAACTAAGACTTGGTTTGGCATCCTTAGAATTGGTTGATTATGTCCGGAAACTTGCCAGTTTTGTTAAGAAACTAGGCGATCCAAACTAGATGGATAATTATTTTTAATTGTTTTACATTTATTTATTTTTATTATTTTTTATTTTTTTGTATATTTATTTTTTTTTATTTTTTTATTAGCCAATTCTCAACTGGGGGAATCAATCATAATTAGCCATTCAGTGGTCCGAATAACCAATTTCCTTGATGGCCATTTCACCTAGCACATCCGGGTTTTACAACGCTACTTTACCCATATTTTCACTTTTGGGGGGTAGTTGGCAATTCAAAATTTCGTTGCCAGAAACCAAAATTTTTAAAGGTGCACCATTTTCTAGTTAGAAGGCTACAATATGGAAGTTCATAACTTCTCGAATATGAAGAGTTTACACTTCGAAACCCCTCGTATATCTCCAAACTTCACAAAAAGTACGAAACATTTGCCTATCTTAATTTTGAAAATTAGATCGAGATGAAATTTTGAGAGCCCAGAATGATCAATAACTTGTATCTCATTGGTGTGTGCACATGTAAAAAGGTAATAATTTTTAAAATTGTAAAATGACTAATAAAATTTTCATGGGTATTTTGGTTATTTTATTTTTAAAATTTTTATTTGTATTCTTTACAAGTGCGTGAAGGTAAGAAGTACTGGCATCTGAAGTCTTAGCTTAGTCTTATGTATAGAAAAATATTAATATCGAAATACTCTTATGTTATCTCAATCACCCAATCAAGATCGAATAGTTGAGACCAGTAACATTTTATTGGTGAACTATAACCACATTCTTTTTATTTTTTATGTGATTAAGACCATCAATTTTGTTAAAGCTACTATCTATGATTTCAAAATAAAGTTCATTTAACCAAGACCACCCTTTCATCAATAAAAACTACACTAGACGATAAAATAAAAGATTGTATACTATGAGACCATTTAGTATTGGTACCAGGAGGTCACAATCATTTTTAGCCATTGGATGTAGAATCTAATATATTGAAGTGTGCTACAACATTCGATAAATTTTATTTTGAACTTTGTACTGAAGCAATGACACATCCTCAATCACTCGATTTCACATTCAACAGTCATTAATGATTGTAACCTCTTAGTATAAAAAATAAAGAAAAAGTTTATATAATGATGTTACCTTATAATATAGAACTACGGATGCCCCTCAAAAATCTACCGAAAAAGGTAGTTTTAATGTTGAAAAACCCTTTGATTGATCATCTCAACATCGAGATGTATGATTATGAAAAATTAAAAGATTTTAAGTCTCCACAATAGTGCATTTTATGATATATTATCTACACCGTCCATTTTCAAGATTTTCATATATTTATAGATCTACTTGAGTTTAACTATTTTTTACATTTTAAATTTTATAATTAGATATAAAAATAGATTTTGAGATAATCCTAAAAATATTTTACATCAAATTTATATACCATGATAAAATTTGAAGGTGCGCCTTACCTCTACATGTACGAATGCATCCATATGCCAACTGCACCCAAAAAATAAACGGTCTCTTTACATATATTTCCATAAAATAATAACTAATTTCTATATTTAGAAGTTCACAAAATCCATGTTAAACCAAACACAATTTTTCAGAATTCCCAAAACTTCTTGCATTTTTTAACCAAAAACAATCTTTTCCTTATCAGGTACTCAAAGGTTTAGCTTCTAAATTCCATGACTTGAACCCTATTGAATCCATGTTCCAATTGCCAAAGGCCCCCTTAGTGTCAAAAAGCCCACCAATGGTACATTTTCATGTGCAAAAAATTGTGGTAGGTGCACTTTTCACTTTTGCTCCTCCATCAAGATAGAGTGAGGAGTTAAGAGTTTTAAATTAAACTTTGGACAAAATGGGTCTAGAAATTCAGCTGGTTTTGAGCTTGGGTCTCTCTTCAATTATGCCTTTTGGAGGTGAGATATTGGGTGTAGGTTTATCTCTGCAAGTTTTTGAAAGGCAAAAATGAGATCTTTTGCCTTTTAGATGAGATAAATGGAGGGTTGGGTTTTGGGTTTCCTCTATCCACAAATTCCTTTCTTTTACTGTACTTATGGATGCAGGAAATGGAGGTGCATGTTTTGGGGTCATGTCAATATGGGTTTGCAACATTTAATTTTTGCAAAAATAAAATTGGGACTCACCCAAAGCAATGAACCTTATCATCCATTAAAAATATCCCACCCAAAGATTTATTCACATGATTAATGAGCAATTAAACCTAAAGTGGTTTTAGAATTTTTTTCACTGTGATACCCACTTTATCTTTAGGGTGTACACTAAATATTGCAGAGTTAAATTGTTATCAAATGTAAAAAAAATTAAATTTCAATAAATTTGGGCAAAAAATTCTGCAATGTTTTTGTTCCTAACCTAAGTTTGAAGGTTCATCTTAAGATAGTCATAAAAAATATAATTAAGCCATCCAACCTTCTATGGGCATTAATTGAAGTAGCAAATGACACATGAGTTACATCATTCTCCAGCTGAAAGTTAGATGAAAATTATTGTTTGAAAAACACTTTTTCTCTTTTGATGTCATTCAATATTACGTTTGCAATTGTTTTATTTTAAGGATAAAAGACAAACTTCCCTCTCTAGAATTGTAATTTTAAATAACCCCCTGGTCCTGTAGATGTCCTATGGAACCCCATAGTTAACGAAAATTGATATTTAACCCGCTCTTGCCTTTTCTATTGTGTAAATTATAAAATTTACTCTGTTTTTTTTTTAATCACCATGCCACCTAAGTTCTAGTAAAGTTCTCATTCTCTTCATCTTTCTTCCTCATGCGTGAATTTCTTCTTCCCTCTCTCTCTCTACCCGCCTTGAATACTTATTTCTCTCTCATCTTATGAACCTCACAAATAAATTAAAATAGGCATCACAAACTTGATTTTCATGATGCGGTTGTTAGCAAGAAGAACATGAGTAAACGTCCTTTTATGTTTGACGTGGGGGTTTTATGCGTTATTTTTCAGGTCAAGGGGTTATTTGGGATAATAATTTTAGAGATGGGTTATGCATCATTTATTTTTTATTTTAAAAAAAATTACGTAAATATCCATTTTTGTTTCCATTATTACCAAAATAACTAATACTTTCTGGTATTACACGCATGTCTGTTTTTTCACTTCATTACGAAATTTTTTAAAACACGTTGCCAATTTTTGTTTTTGAAAAACCAAAAATTAAAAATTTTCGGTTTTTGAAAAACTGAGAACTCATTTTTAATAGGACTAACCTTCTGTTGGGTTACACGATATTTTCGGTTTTTCAAAAACCGAAAACCCGTAAATTTCAATTTTTGAAAAACCGAAAATGTAAGGTTTTTAGTTTTTGAAAAACTGAAAACCCATTTTGATAGGAATAACCTTCTGTTGGGTTAAACAATATTTTCAATTTTTCGAAAACTAAAAACCCTTAAATTTCGATTTTTAAAATATCGAAAATGTAAGGTTTTCAATTTTTGAAAAACCGAAAACCTAATTTTGATAGGACTAACCTTCTGATGGGTTAAACAATATTTTTGGTTTTTCAAAACTGAAAATGCAAGGTTTTCGGTTTTTAAAAAACCGAAAACCCATTTTTGATAGGACTAACCTTATGTTAGCTTAAACAATATTTTTGGTTTTTCAAAAACCGAAAATCTTTAAATTTTGGTTTTTCAAAAACAAAAAACGCAAAGTTTTTTGTCTTTGAAAACCCAAAATCCCTTTTTTGGTAGAACTAACCTTTTGTTGGGTTAAACAATATTTTGGTACGGCTAACTTTGTATAACAATAAATTTAATTGGTCCTCATTGTCGTCTTTTTCAAATAGTTATTTTTTCATTTTTATTGTTTCCTTCATCATGTTGTATCCACCACATCAAAATTATTTTTATTAAGGGCAAACTTTTTATGTTTCCCTTACAGCATAGAAGTTCTATCATCCTCCTTATCCAACCCTCCATTCTGAATGGAGGGCTAAAATTGCTCCAATCACAATGTCACATCTCTACACTATTTTATTATTAATTTTTTTTTATAAACTCTTTTGATACCAAATTTTGGACGTCCATTCCTCTATTAAACTCGCACTAGCAAAAAATATAAAAAAAATATTTTCAATAAAATAAAATAACCAAAATACACCTGAAAATTTCAAGGGGTATTTTGGTTATTATATTTTATCGAAAAAATATTTTTAATATTTTTTATAGGAGAGCCCCAATGAGAAGATGGTGTGTACCAAATTTCATATTCATACAATTTGTATAAAAAAAACTAAAAATAAAATACTTTGAGACATCGGATCTAAGATCAAACGGTGAGTGGCTCTCTTAATCAAAATTGGACGGCTGGATGATAAAAGAAGGATAGAACTTCTATACTGTAGAAAAAACATAGAAACTTTTCCCTTTTATTAATAGTCACAACTGTAATAGAAATCTCAATCTTGTTAATAACAGTGTATAACTCACCACTTT